ACCTACATTTTAAATATTCTTAGACCCACAGGGAGTTGTAGCTCTCACTCCTCCTAAAGAAAAAAAAATTTTTTGCAATTGTCAGACAGAAACCATTACAGAAAATCACAGTAGGTCAAAATGTGGATGGGATGGTACCCATCCACAATAGGTACATCTGCAACACAATTGCAGCACTTAACATTCAGGAATAACTGAGAAAGAGGAGAACAGAAAGACTGTTAGAGCCAGAGGACCAGAGAGTCTGTTGTGAAGTTGTGTCTCATAGAAATGACACACCCTGTCCCTGGTGCTTCAGCTGGCTCTGGGGAACCTATTCCTCATGCTGGATTGTCTTACTCAACCTGAATACAGCTTGGTGGGAGGTGCTTGGTCCTTTGGCAGCTTGATATGTCCTGATTTGTTGATGTATTTGGGTGACCTGTCCCTTTCTAAGTAAACATGGAGGGGTGGATTGAGCGGTGGAGTGGAAGGGAAGGAGGAAGGGGAGGTTGTGGTCAGGATAAGAAAGAAAGAAAAAAAGAAAGAAAGAAAGAAAGAAAGAAAGAAAGAAAGAAAGAAAGAAAGAAAGAAAGGAAGGAAGGAAGGAAGGAAAGAAAGAAAAAAAGAAAGAAAGAAAGAAAGAAAGAAAGAGAAGGAGGAGGAGGGAGGGATAAGGAAAGAAAGAAAGAAAGAAAGAAAGAAAGAAAGAAAGAAAGAAAGAAAGAGAGAGAGAGAGAAAAGAAAATGATTTGCTGATGCCTATAGGTGGCCTGCCCCTTTCTGAGTAAACATGGAGTGGTGGATTGAGCGGGGGAGTGGAAGGGAAGGAGGAAAAGCAGGTTGTGATCAGGATGTGAAAGAAAGAAAGACAGAAAGACAGAAAGACAGAAAGGAAGGAAGGAAGGAAGGAAGGAAGGAAGGAAGGAAGGAAGGGAAAAAGAAAAGAAAGGAAAAGAAAAGAAAATGACAGCACCCACGGGACTGCAACAATATAATTGACTAGACATGATCTGAACAAGAACAACTCCAACAGACACGCTAACATGTAAGGGGAAATCTCATGGGGCTTCACCCTTAAGAAAGAACTGCAGGGAACTAAGGAATGCTCTGAGAGAGAGACAAATAGTCATCCCAGAAAAGAGCATCATAATTGGTTATCTAATACAAAGTTGTCAGTCCTCAAACCATGTACAAATAGGCAACACTAAATGGACTGTAATTATATATTTAGGCAAATATAAGTATTTGTTATTGCTACATATATGCTATATTATGGTTTCATATATATAATAAAGCTATAAATGAAGTCATCTTTTCAAGTATGGGTACATAGGAAAGATTGGGAAAGAGGAGAAGAAATGGGAAAATGATAAAATTATATTTTAACTTTTAAATTTATAATTTTAGAAAACTAATTCTGAAGCAATCATCAGTCAACAATTTTGAGTGGTTTTTACAATTGTTTTTTTCTACAATAAATATGAATGAAGTATTTTAGTGATGTTGGCTCTACTTAGAAAGTTCTGGGATATAAGAAACAAAATAGGAGCAGGATCATGGTGACTTTAACCGATAATCCCAGCGCTTGGGAGTCAGAGGCCGGTGGATCTCTGTGGGTTCAAGGTCAGTCTAATCTACAGAATGAGTTCCAGGACAGCCAAGACTACACAGAGAAAACCTGTCTCAAAAAACAAGAAGAAAAAAAACCAGGAATTTAAGATGGAAAATATGTTTCATCTACGCCCAACTACTTTGTGTTTTAGCATCCATACGATGAAATACACCTAACGGATACTAAACCAGCCCTTTCTGTAGATGTCGACAATGAGACCCATAAATGTCAATGCAATCTGACTTGCTGAGTGAGGCAATATATTCTTCATTCCTGTGTGTTAATCCCCAACTCTTCCCTTCTGCCGCAGTGCTGCTTGGTACACTTGTAACTATGCTACGTGTATGTATGTAGAAGCAGAAGGAAGACCAGAATTTTTGTGGTGGACTCACCAAAAGAGAAGCAACAGTCACAAAGTTGTGGGACAAGAAGTAGAACTCAGGAAGGTGCAGCCTTTCTGGGTTCCACCCCCAGCTCTGCCCCATCCTGCTTATTTGATAATAGATGACCTAAGAATCTGTCACAATTTCCTCATCTGTCAAATAGTAACCAAGGTTCATAATGAAAAGTGGAGATAGAATTTGTATATGACTTGAAAGCATAAATGACTTTCTTGGGTAGGTGTCTGTGTGATGCAGCCTCAGTGGTGGGCAACAGGCTTCCTCAACTGCCCTTGGCTGAGAACTATTTGTAAGCCTGGCTTGTAGTAACCAGTGAGTACTGTGTCTAGCATCACTTCTTACACTGAACCAAAGTTTAAAAAAAAAATTTATTTAGAGATCTCCATTAGCAAACCAAATAAATACATCATGCCAGTGACTTCCTGATGTTACTTGCTATCACTTGCTCCACTGAAGACTGGTGTATATGCATTGTTTTGATTGTTAGTGATGTGGGATGTCCTTCTGTATATCTGCTGCTTTTATTGGCTGATGAATAAAACTGTTTAGGCCAATGACTTAGCAGAGAAAAGCCACGCCGGAATCCGAATAGAGATATTTAAAGAGAGTAGATGGAGTCAGAGAGACGCCAGGTAGCTGCCGAACCTTAGGTAAGCCACAGCCACATGGCAATAGTCAGATGAATAGAAATTGGTTAATTTAAGATGTAAGAGTTAGTTAATAAGAAGCCTGAACCACTGGTCAAACAAAGCTGTAAATAATATAATTTCTGTGTGATTATTCGGGTTTGGACAGCAGGGACAAAAGAGCACTCTCTGTTTTCATGTTAGTGTCAGCATTGGTTGATTTCTGACTTATGAGCCCCATAACACTTTGAATAATGATAGCCAGCTACTAAAGATACAGTATAACCTCCAACCATCACGTTTAGGTGGTGATTCTACAATGTTTAGGATATGATTACTCATATGGAAAATTAGTTTTATCATCAAGAGACTGTCCCATTTAACGACAGCATTACTAGAAGTCTTTGAGGGATAAACAAATTGACCATGAAACACAAACATTTGTTGTTGAGATCAATGGCAGAAGCCTCCCTGGTTCCATTTAGAAGAGTTTGATGCCTGTCTTCAAAGGACGCGGCAGCTCTAGCACAATGCACACTTTGAAGCGGGGTGCTTTGTCATCCCTTGCCTTAGGCCTGCCTGCTTCTGGCATAGATTAGCAAAGCTTGTCCTTTTTTTTTTTTCACTCTTTCACAATGGAGGAGTTTTGCCTTAATGACCATTTCTATCCCATGAGTACGGAGCTTTACACAGAGCTTAGCCTTGATACTCCACTGTGTTTAGACAACTTCATTAATGAAAGGCGGATTCTGGGGGGGCTTTTGTTGCCACATTATGGTATTTGTGTCAGAACACTGTGTGCCCCACATCACAGTGATGCAGGCAGACCAGCACCATGACAGGAAGAAATACAGCAGCAAATTAGCTCTGCCCAGGCTTGGATTTTCTGTGCCTTCCTGACAGAGACTAAACAGCGACCAGCACTTCCTCTGACTTCTTCCTGTGGGGACCAGAAACAGGGGGCCCTCCATCATGTGTGTTCAGTTAGTAGGCCTAATATTTCCCTAACCACCTCTAGATCTTAGCTGCCATGTCTTCTATAAGAAAAATATTTCTCTGGTGTGTACTTGATGAATCTAAACTCTCTGGAACACAAGATGTTATGAAATTAGACATCATCGAGTGAGGCAATTGTACATTTCCAAACAATCTTGAAACTGCTCTGTGGTACTTGGCTTGTGGGTAAACAATTCGCTTTTGCTATTCTTCTGACTGTAGTCACGAATTGCATGATAATTAAGGAAAGCCAGAGAGGGCGTCATAGAGACTCTGGAACTAACCCTTCCTTTCACAGACAAGAGAGAACACTCAGAGCTGCAGCCACGCAGAAATAGCAGAGTCCTTTCAACTGGAGAAGGAATCCAGGCACTAATTCTATCCCAAACTGACAGTGCCTCCTAACACAATTGTTTTGTGACAAAAGCTGAAACCGCAATGGACTTGGGCTTGGGTGTAAAATGAGGACACATTCTTTCTCCCCTAACGTGTCTGTTTGAAAATTACCAATATTTCCTTTTAAACTTCAGTTGTTTTACACTAGGTTAAGATAGTATCTATATAAAATTCACAATGCAATTTCATTAATAAGCCATTGGGCTGGGTGGGGGTGGACCTGAACTATGTAAGAGTGGAGAAATGGAGCTGGACACAAACAAGCAACTGGGCACACATGCACTCATTTCTTTCTGCTCTTGACTGGATGCCATGTGACTAGCTGTTTGAAGCTCCTGCCTTGACTCCCTCCCAATGGTGAGCTTGACTCTAGAATTGTAAGCAGAAACCAACACTTCTTTCCCTTATGTTGCTTTTTGTCCAGTTTTCTTCTTTATCACAGCAACAGAAATTAAAATAAGCCAGGACCCAAAATGAGGCAATAAACACTGTCAAGAGAGGTATTAAACCAGATGGAAACTATAGGAGGAAAGATTAAATTATTAACTAATTCTTGGGTTTACATTTGGTCCCAACTTGCTTTTTTAGTTCTGGTTCTAGAATAAAGTTTGTTCCTTCCACATGCATATTGGTCTCTGGCTTGACTTACTCTAGACGAAAGAAAAGGAAAGGAAACAGAAAAAAAGAGTGGCAAGAACAGTAAAAAGTATCTACTTTATAAATGATTGGTACTACAATTGGAAAAGCAATAATAACACAAAAGCAAGATAAGCATCGTAGCCTAGTGGTAGCTTCTGACATGGCAGTATAGATAAATACTCCTCTACCTGACTTCTCTCAGGCAGCAGTTTGCACTTAATTCCATAAGCAACCCATTTCTCATCTCTGGAAAATGAGTAGAAACAAAATTACCACCTAGCAAATGTGTAGTGATATGTATGACAGTTGATCTTGGAAAACAAGTAGACAAATAACAAGAATGAAAAATACATCCCAAACAGGTCTTTTTATTTAACATAAGGCCAAAGAAGCTATCAGGCATTGCTGAATACTGCCTACTAACTGTACAAAATATTGACTGCATGCCTCGCAAACACCAGAATATCCGCTGGAATGGAATAGAAATAAATAACTTCTGCTATAAACACATGAAAACATATCCAACTGTTATCTCTTTAAACATATTGTAAATAAAAAATTACCAGTACTTCTACAAAATAAATATTAAGAAACCATTGACATAGTTGAAATGCACTCATATAAATTAACAACTTTAATTACATTAGCCAAACAGACATTGGTTAAAGAATCGCATATAGTATGCAAGAGAACTCACAAAATAAAAATAAAAACAAACAAACACCAACCACATAACACAAAAGTTTTAGAACAAAACAGGTTTCAGATTATCTTGGCTTTCATAATTATATTTTTCTTTTAAAGAAAAATATCAACCCATTGTCAATGCACTGTTTTTCAAAGCATTTAAATAGAGGGTAAAACCCACTGAAAATTAATACAGAAGAAATGATTCACTTTATGCATAAAAATAAATAATAATATAGCTGAGACATGTGATTCTGCTCTTGAAGATGTGAACAGCATCATAGCATTCATTATCTGAGCCATCCAATAGCTTCTCCGTGTTACAGGGTTTACTTTAAACACATACAGTGTTCATCCCCAAACCTCCTGCCCACATCTACAAGTTTCACGTATGCGGGCATTGGGGGTAATTGAGTTTTTATCTATATTGAAAAAGAGAAATTGCTAAAAGGCCCACAGGAAATCATAATTTTCAAGTGACCACAATCATTTAGATGTATATTTACTACAACTGAGGCATGTTTACTTTTTTTTTTCTTAGTCACCTCTTGAGTTCAGTCCCGCAAATGTGAAACAATTTTGCTTATTCTGCCTTTCAGGAAGATGCAAGGCCTCTCCTTGACAATGGAGTGTGGAATCAATCTTAAATGACAGTGGAATTGGTCGGTCTTCTAGGATAAGAAAATCCCAATCATTGTGCTGGAATATGCCTTATTTTGGGTGTGTGGGGGGTGTCAATTAAGCTTATAAAGTATTTAAATTTTAAAGAGATGTTGAGCACAGAGTCATGCTCTTCATGACTTCTGGAATTCATGTGGGCAGATACTTCAAAATTATCCTAGAGAAAGTGAGAAGACTAGATAGAGCCACTTTGATGCTAGGTAAAACACACCGTGAAGAAACTATGCTGTTAGACAGTCAAAACTTTTGATTTTTGGACTAAGCAGCTATGTGAAAGGACCAGTTGTTCACAAGACTTGGTGTTTTCTGAGAGTGCTAACAATAGCAAAATATCTAATATGCTTAGAGATGTTCACAATTTAAATCCTATTGCAAGGCCAGACAAATTTGATGAGCTCAGATGTGGTTTATTGGTATGTGACAACCAAGTCACTTGATCCCCAATTATTACACTGTCCTGTGGAATTCATTTTGTTCCTAGATTTAATTATTATGGTTACTAATCAAACCCGAGCTTACCCCCAATACATCTAGAATTTAAAGGACTATAAAAGATTACAGATCCATCTCAGATGAATGAGAACTATAATTAGTAGTTTCATAAATCCTGCTCTCCCCGTGGTCTAGATCGGCTCTGATATGGCACAGTAGACCTCTACTATGTCTATAGGTCCCAGTTTTAGCTCCAGTACTAAGGAAACAGTTCAGAGGACCCTAAAGTTTTTCATAAAAATTGGCAAAGTTGAACCTGGCCATCTACTTCCCCTCAGTTTTCCTCACCATGCCATTTGTCCCCACATGCAAGATCTCCAAGGTCAATGGACCTTAGTTATAATTCATTTCTTATGCAGTACATGCATTTCCTGCATAAAACAGGGAAGGCCCCTGGAACATAGTAAGTATGTTTGCCCAGTAACAAGACTAAAGTAGATTGCCTACATACAGCCTAATGTGATGGTGTATATTGACTTAGTATATAGAATATATATTGACTTAGTTTTTTTTTAAGGGTTAAACCTGCTTTTGTAAGATTTAATTTCTCACTGTATTTCATTTTCCTACAATGACTTTAGTCTATGGACTGACTTAATGCTAAAAGTTTCAATGTTTTATAAAATACCAAGGAATATAGTTTTTCTCAATTAGAGATTTTCATTTTTTATAAAGTTTTCAAACTTCAAACAAGTCCGTAAAAATAAGGCTCTGTATTTTAAATACATAGATGTATAGTTTATCAGCTGTTTTAGGCAAGCAAAACAGTGGGCTAGATTAGAGACTTGGGTTTAAGCATGTATTTTGATATTTATAAGACAATCTTTTCAGTTTTGCCTCTGAAAAATACAAACTTACAGGTCAAGATTTTTGGCTGTAAAATGAACTATTAGAGATGTGTACAACTACCCTACTCCCTGGCTCCTAAGAGTTCTCACCCTTATCTCCAACTGTCTTAAATACTTTCTTGAATATTTTATTATTTAAGTAGTAGCAACACTATTTTTTTAAAAAAAGAACTTTCATTCTAGCCTAGAGATATTTTTCCCGAAAAGTTTCTGATTTAAGATTGATTCCAATAAATAATAAATATAAGTTGAAAAAACTCAGCCCACTGTTTTTATTAACATCCTGTTTTCCCCACAGGGGATAACTTGTAGGGAGCAGGGGTGAGAAAGAGGGGGGAATTTCATCTTGTACATTTAAAGAGGGCCTCGCTGGATACTCGCTGGGATTTTCAGGCTTTTTCCCATCCAAATATTTGAAATGTACCCACCTAGTACAGAGTAAAAGCAAGAAAAAAATCTATCACTTATCCTTCTTAAAAATACTGTGTTTTGCACACAAACATTCATTGTTTTAAGAACATTTAAAAAAATGACAGCCTGAAGTGCTTAAAATGTGTATGGACATGGTACAATACATGTATATATACACACAGGTATGCATATGCACAAGCAATGTATATATACACATACAAGCATGTAGTCTCATGAATTTGAACTTGATAATCCAACAGTGTACACTACTGTACATCCAGTATGAAATGTCCTGTTTCATGGATGTAAAAAGGAGTCAAAATCCAAACCTCTCAGGTCTTTTAAGCCTGAACACAATTCACCTGACTCAACCTTAACCCTCAAGCCCTGACTCATTGATGGCGAACAATATCAACCACAGACAGACTGTTTAAAGGCTCACACAAATGTCTTTGGTGTATGTGTCTATTTTTAAGGTACAAAATAATAATAATAATTATAATTATAATAATAAAAATAGCTATTTTGTGTGCTGTAGCAGTTCTTTTATAGCTCACATGAAGTGCAGCTCTTAAACCCCACCCCCACCCCCACCCAAAGAAAATACTTGTTAAATAAGGATTAGACAGGTCAAACACCATCGTAGTGCAAATAGTAAACGATAGAAAAACAACATTTACAAAATATAGAAATGTTTGAATCCAACAGATGGACAAACATATTCCTTTCAAGTATCTCTCCTTGAAGAAAATAAAAATTAATCAGGTTACTTCCAATACAAAAAAGTCTCTCTTTTTGTCCTCTTTCAGGTAAACAGTTTCAAACCTATTAGGTTGCATAGTTCTAAGATCATAAGCACCTTAACGAAATGTGACTTGGTGTTCTTTCTTCCTTCATCTTTCACTCTTCCCATTCTTGTTCTCAATGCTTTATGTTGATTTTTGTCTTGTGGCAAAAGTGGTACAGAAAAGAAAATGTGACCACCTGCACAGAATTGTTCTTTTACCAGTATGTGTGTGCATGTGGTGTGTGGAAATACCTCTGTGTGTGTGTGTGTGTGTGTGTGCGTGCGTGCACGTGCACGCGCCTGTGTGTGTGCACACATATGTGTGCACACTGAAATACACAGAGATAGTGTCACATAGATATACTTATGACCTGGGTATCTGGGTGGGACTGGCCCTTTAAAACTCATGGCTTTCTAGACGTATTTGGGTTGTGCTAGCCCACATTACTGCAGAATAGACAAGTAGACTTCCAGGCTCTCAAAGGAACCGCAAGAGGCAGGAGAGAGGACAATACCCAGTTTGGATAAAACTGATGCAATCAGTTTGGTTTTGGAAGAAATGAAGGGTACACCATTCTCTCTTTTCCTCCCAATCCCTGTTTCCTTCACTGTTTCATCTCTGAGCCCTGGCTTAGGATATTTTCCACAACTTCCTTCATCTGTTTCATTAGGTTTTGTTTTCAGTTTAGTTTTTGTTTTTTGTGGGTTTTTTATTTCTATTTTTCTGGTTGTTTTGTTTAATTCAGATATTTTATATTTTTCTTCATTTTGCCACTGTCTTCTCTGGACTCTCTAGATCCGTTTCCTCTGGGCCCTGGCAGCTCTAGGAGCAGCCGCACTCCTCCACAATCATGTTCTGAATGTCCTTTTTGATGATGTTTTGGCCATCATCATAATAGAGCATGGACATGGGTCTCAGCTTGGTGGGCACACAACATGACTTAAGGTTGGCAAAGGGGCTGTGACCCCTCATGCGGTAGTGGTTGATGACGGTTGAATGGAAGGAGAGTGACGACCCAGAGGTCCCTGCTATGTGGCTTGGGCACTCACCCTCACAATAGTTGGCATGATAGCCAGAGGGAGCAATGATCCAGTCATTCCAGCCAATGTCCTTGAAGCTGACGTAGAACTGTTTCTTACAGCAGATGTTGACCTTGCCGTCACACTCCAAGCCCCGCCTACGCCTGCGGTGAGGATGGTCTTCCGACTGCCTAGCCTGCAGCATGAGGAAAGGTCTGTGTGATTGCTCCTTTTCCTCTTCCACCGCTCCGTCACTTCCATCTTTCTTCTTCCCATCTCCATCCACTTCTTTCTTCTTCTTCTTCCCCAGGAGCACCAGGCTGGCACCACTCTCCTGGCACTGCTCACAAGCAATCCGCACATCCAGGGAGCTCTTCCCCTGGTCCAGCAGGCGCTGGATGCTGCTAGACACTGGAAAGATGTGCCAGGTACTCTTCCGAGCATCGACCACTTTCTCCGATAGCAACAGTTCACTCCTCTCCCCCTTTAAGCCCATTTCCTCGGCCTCTTCCCCCATGTCCAAGCTGCCCTGTGGATGCTTCTGCTGCTGAAACAGACGGATGGTGACTTTGGTCCTGGTTCTGTTGGCCTTGGGGACTTTCAGGAAGAGCCAGATTTCTGCACGCTCCACTACTGACAGGTCACTGCCTTCCTTGGAAATCTCAAAATGCAGTGTCTTCCTGGCTGTGCCTGAAGATGAAATGACACAAGGGGGGGGGGAACGCATGTTAGTTGAAAATTGCACATCTATCACTAACTTCAGACATCTTGGTTATCCACTATCTCTCACAAGGCTCGGTCATCAGTTTACAGTCCGCACGTGAGATAAATCGGTTTCCATGTGGTCACTGAGTCGAAAGGGTTTTACAGTTTTGAAATGATTTAAGGAAAAAGCATTTTTTTTAACATGTGACTCTTACCTGAAATGTAAACTTCAGTGCCTGTAAACGCAGTTTTATTAAAACAGAGCCCCATGAATTTTTTATATGTTGCTTGTGACCATGTTTCTCTTACACAGAGCTGGGTAGCTATGGGCGACACCACTCACAGAGACAAGCATGTGAGCCTTGCTCTGTGCTGAAGGAAGCCTGCGCTTCTGCATCGATTTCATTTGCTCCTGCATTTTAGTTTAATCTATGAAATGAGAATAATGTGATGACATCTGACAGAGATTGGAAAGAGTAGAATGAATTCACCTAAACGAAAAGCCCTGGACACCTTGGTAAGTTGTGGCATTATTGTCCCACAACAACAACAAAAACAAAAAACAAACAAAAAAACAAAACAAAAAACCTCTGTCCCTTGCAGCTATGTGTATGTCTGTGGGGACCATACTCTCTGAGATCATGTCTTCTTCCTGTCAGCAGTCAGCACCAGACAGAATTTGTCTGACAACCTGTGTCCAGGTAGAGCAGCAGGGTTTTTACCAAATGACCTCCGAAGATTTGCATCGGGCCTCTCTCAAGTCATTTCTCCGTTAAGCAGTTAAGGAAATCTTCTGTAAAAGTGGGTCTTACCCCAGTTGTCCCCTCTCTTGTGGCCTGCACCTGCAGCAGGGCCATCCCAGGCCAACCTAAACAATGACTCCGCCCATCTGACCGGACGTTGCTTTCCATTGCCTTCCTTCTCTTCACCTACGACCCCCCTCGCAGCAGTTTAGTTTAGGAAACCAGTTTAGGTCATATCTGTCTTGTTCACTGTGGTGGTGTAATGTGCAACAGAGGGTAGGTAGACACTAAGTTACTAATTCACAAATGGGGCCATATTAGCACTGAGTTGCCCTAAATTAAGAAAGCAACTCCTAACTCTGAATCATTTAAAATGCACTAAATAAATACCAAAAATATACCTCCCTTTCTATCTTCTTTTCAAACAAAACATCCCCCAAACCACTCAGATCTACCTAGATGTAGGGCCAGAACCTTGCTATTTCCTTCTCTTTTCACAGACCCTTGTAGATTTATTACACAGTATCATTTATGATAAGAAACACGTGTCCAGGCTAGAATTCTTTGATTGAAAATATATTTCCCTTCCCTTCCATATTGCTATCGGGAGGCATATAAAAGCAAGCTCTCTCTTACCTGACCATGTCCCTACTAACAGCTGTCTGCCGTACATGGAGTTCATGTACAGTCTGGGAACAATCTTCAAGAGGTCTATCTTTGACATGGCAGTTCCCAAGGATGGTCTCCCTAACCGGTTTCCATAGCTAACATAAACCCAGCCATGCTCATCAGTGGAGACCTTTAGATGTTTATGGTCCCATAAATTTCAGCACAGTCTCAAATGTGCTGCAGCAAAAGGCAAGCTTTCCTGTGCATGGTACACTGTAGACTCCAACCTCAATCTAACACACTGTACACTATGACTACAATAGATTCACAAAGACAAGCGCCAGGGAGCACGGACTATAGACATGGAGAGTCCCTGGCAACTGCCTAGAAGTTTGCCAGGAAGATAGGGTAGCAGAGACAGCCCACTGAGTGACTTCCCATTTCTGCCAGGGGTCAAGATAAATAATTAATAGATTTTGATTCCATAGCATGTAAGAGCAAAGAACAGCGAGGAAGGGAAACAGGGTGACAGTTTTTAAAGTGAATCCTATCACCCTCTGCCCAGGTTAAATGGGTTTACTGTTGTTGTTTAATTTTATAAGAAAACAAAAGACTCTAGGGAGCAAAATCTAGAATAATTATTATAAAACTTCACAAGGGTGATAGAGCACATGAGGCGTCCGGAAAGGTTGGAGTGAAGGGGGGATAGGGTACAGGGGATCTGGAAGAGCGCATGTTCCTCCCCTGTAGGGGTGCATCTGCTATTCCTCTAAAAAGTATCAACCACCTACCTAGCATCTTCCTTCCCGCCTTCAAGCAGTGCCTTTTATGTAGTCCTGAGCTATCCCCGGGGGGTCAGTCCACAGACAGGGAGAACAAAATAGCAACTAAATTAGAGAAGCCCGAAGAGGCTGCCTTCTTTCTCTAGGAAACAGCTCCTGACTGGCAAAGTTCACTAGGTCTCAAGAAGGGCAATCCTCTCCCAAACCTCTTCTGTCCTCGACCACTTGGCATGGGTGTGAGGGTAAGGGGGCTGAGAGCCCTGCTGATCTGCTCCTACTGAGCTTCCCATAAACAGTTCTGGGCTGCCTGCAGATGTTGGGGACAAGAGAGGATTCACGGGCGTGCTAGAACAAGTGACGGCGTGCGACTTGCTTTCTATCGTGGTCAGCAAGGCTGAGACCATGCGCTCCTGTCATACAGCCTGCAGGATGGCCCCTCGCTGCATGGGAACAAGTTTCTCATGCATAAGGTAGCTCCACCCCTTCTTCACAGGCGGCTGTACTGGGAAGCAAATGATTTAGTGTTCCTGCCAGAGGATCATACAAAGGGAGAGCTCATTAGAGGGGGCTCTGTCTGTCAGGTGCTGCTGCCTTAGACTCAGAGAGTCATCATCAAACGCCTTTCAGGCTGGTTCTTGGCTGACAATTAACTGCAAGCCATTGCCTGTGTGTCACGGGGAGGCAAGGGTGCTCATTTACGCCGCAGTTTAATTAGCCAGCCGCAAGCCTCGGCTCCTGTATTTGTTTCTACTCAAGCCTGCTTCATTTCTCCCCCATATTTCTGACATTTGGATTTTCCCCTACTAATTGACATGCCTGTCCCCTCCTTCTCCTGGTGTCCATTTCTGGAACTGCTATTTGTGTGTTGCATGATATTTTATCAGGGGAAAAAAAAATAAAACTGAGATCCAATTTCATGAAAATGCTGTTGCCGTATGCCCAGGAGGACAGGGGGAGGAGAGAGTCAAGTCTTCCTCCGTCTACCTCATACGCAGGTACATTTTATAAGTTCTATTGTATTCTGACTTATAAAGCAGTGCATTCTTTTTTCTCTTTTACCTTAGCTTTCATTGCAGAAGGGTGTGGGGAGAGTGCGATGGATGGGAGCTGAAGTGGATTGACCGTTTATCAGACCTGTTGGTTTCAGAAATATATTACAACTCTCAAGCTAGTTACATAAGGATGAAAAATATAGTCAGAAAATGTTCTGTTCCCTTTATCTCTACTACCTGAGAGAAATGGCTATATTGCAGTGATGCTTCCAGGAGGCCCCATGCTGAACATGTAATGATTTGGAAAGGGGAAGAGAGATATCCAAGGCTGAGATGCTTAGGATCAACGTCCCGTCCATTTCAGGCCTGACTTAAATATCTGGGGCTGTAAAATTCTGAAATAAATGCCTTCCCATGGTGCTGCGTAAGCAAGTATGCCCGCGTGTGTACAGGTGTGTGCTGGGTTCCTCCACCAGGCCGCAGCTTCCTGGAGAGAGCTGCTGGCTCATTAACCTTTCATTAACAACCCCTGTAACGTTCTTCTCCTCCTCTGTGCTATTTTCTGTCCTGAGGCTTGTGAGCAAGGCTTGTATCACAGCCTGCTCTGTCTGAGTAATTCACTAAGAAAGTCCCACGCAAACCCATGTGGGTGATCCTACCTCATCACTTAAGCCCCTGTGAGCTTGGTGGACACACAGCAGAGCAGGAAAAAAAAATGGGCAGAACATTCAGTAGGGGTAAATGCTGTCCCTTATAGGAAATACCTTTGAAATGCTGCCTACTGGGAGGGCTGGGCAGAAAGGAAGTCTATGTCGGCCTAAAGGAAGGGGGCTTGTAGCAATTCTCTTTTGCTTTCGGGATTTTTCTCTAGCTTGGTCACAAAGGTATGCCAAGGCTTCAGTAAGCAGGCTGCTTGCTCTCTTCCCCAACATTAGTGTGTAAATGCCACGTGCACCAAAGTCCAGGTATCAGATTTGTCAGCATATGACTGAAAATTTCCAGTTAAACAGTCAATACACACATAAAGTTCCAGCTCAGTTTAGCCTGGTTTCTCCTCGCCAACATCCTGGGTAAAATATGCTGCCCTTTGACACGTCGGTAATGGTCCCATCGCTGTTCACGTGGAAAGCTTTGCCATTCCCAGTGCACACTTACGCTCAGCGTGAGAGAAGCACAGCATTGCTGTAAATATGTGTAACTTTAACTTCCCATTCTTCTTCGAGCTTCCCTGTGCCTAGATCTAGCCCAGTGAATGGTATAGGGGCCAGCGTCACAGACCCTGTGTCCTCAGAGGTACTAAGTCAGCCTCTGGATGGCTCCAGGGGTTTCTGCAAAAGGCATCAGGGAGGTCTGAGAGGTTACAGCTCCCTGTCCTGCAATCGAGCATCTTACCCACAGCAGGCATGTTAGCTTGCTTGTACCGATTATCCTGTCTAACTTTTGAGCTTCCATGGCTCTCACTGGGATTGTTTTTGGATGACTGTCCATCTTCAGGCCCGAGTAACTTACCATCCATCGCCTCTACCATTTAAAGGATGATGAAAAGGGTTAAATGTTTGAGAAAAGAAAGAGAGAGAGAGAAGTTCTAACTTCATAATATAACTAGGAAAAAAATTCTCAAGAGTCAAGCTAGAGAGATTTTCCAGAGTTCCTCAAAAACTTTTACACTTGTGAATGTGGACCTAGGAACCAGTCAGCCACGAAGAGTCTGAGCTAAAGCGAAGAGACAATGCTCAAGTGTGATATAGCAGAAGGGCCAAGACAAGTGTTTGCATAAAAAGTGGGAAGGTACTCCTTAACTCCATGTGAAAACTGCCTCTCTCCCCTGACATTTCCCCATCCCCACTACAGTACACCCACTCCACAGGCAAAAAGAAAAAAAAAAAAAAAGCCGGTGCTCATCTCTTTGCACACCCTTCCCCCACGGTTTCCCTCCACACACTCAGCTGGGAAACAAATGCGTCCCCAGCAGCTGAACTCCGTGTTCCTACCAGGCGTTAAATAAATAGTCCTTTTTTTTTTCTCCCTGTAAGAAGTCACTTGTCATTTGTCCCTTGTGAAAAGCATTGATAAGGCAAGCTACCTAGGAAGCGTAACTGGGGGAGATGGAAGGTGTTTTTATAAAACCCTGGAGACTGTGTTAGGGAGCGCCTCTGCTCACATCAGTGTGGCTGATGATTCACACACATCCCAAGCCCTGTTCTGTTTGTTTTTGAAATGTATCACTCTTCTGTGGCCGATGGAGCTGTGGGATATTCACGTGAAGCCCAGCATTCCTATAGCTGAGCCTCTGTCTCACGTAAGGATTACCAGGGGTTTGCACCTCCCAGTCCACAAAATCCTAACCCTGCAGGAAGATGGGATTGCAGGGAGGAAGGAATTGATAATCTTCCAGATTACGGTGCTTCAAGCTGGGGCTTCAAGTAGGCACAAAACTGCCTTTTCCTGGTTAGCTGATCGAGAGATGAAGGTTTAGGGAAGCGCCCTCTTGTGGCCAATCTTTTCCAAAATTCAGATATGTGCGGAAACCCTAAGAGGCTCAGTGAGGTGTAATTCACAAACCAGGTCACAGAAAGGCAGAGGCGGGGAGTGGAGCTGTGTGAGTTTACTCCATTTTCAGATGGCTTTCTTGGGGTGTAGAAAAGTAGTCTCCTGGTGAGCTCATGTCTAACTCAGATCTTCTGTCCCCGGTGTCCTCCAAGAGAGGCAAGGTATTGCCACATTAGACAACACCTGGACAGTGTCTATTGATTCAGACATAGTTTCTCTAGCCTTTGTAGGCTAATTGTGAAAATAAGCAGCTAACCATGGCAGGATCTATGTAGACTCAATGGTAGGCTGTTACTGTACAAGTACTATAATAAAGCAAAAATAGATAAAAAATACAGTGTATCAGCCAAGACATCCTGTGATCTCCATTTCATTGGCAATATATGCCATAGTTGGATTCCCTTTACTCATCCATGCAGCCATTTCTTTAAAGAAAAGTAAGCACTGAGAGTTTGGGACCAGTCATACGCTAACTTTGGGAGGCACTCTTGGGTAACACCTATAAAAGTAAAATGTATTTATTGGAACAGATTTCAGAGAACTTGAGAGTGAATACCTGCTGCTTAGTCAAGGCAATCCAAATCAACTTTAGAAATTGGAACTATTTCCCACCTGAATACAGTAGGACAAATTCAGTTAAAAGATTAAGGTACTCTAGCCCGTGTAGTCTCTTTCTTCTCATGGCTTTTGACGGCTATATCTAATAATCTTGACTAAAGAGACCAAAGTAAAACACATATCCCAAATCTTGATATGAAAAGGCACATCTATTGTGTGCTTGCAGGTGACACTCATCAACTGCACTCTATGTTGTACAAATGGTTGCAAAGAAAAGAGAAAAAGCATGTGCCCTTTTCTGTTCTTGAAATCTGTTAACATGCTACATAGGAAAGTAGAATTACTCCAAAAGGAACAAGACAGATCTTTGCGGTTCATTTCCATGCATTTGCTCTAACTGATCAGATGATACATAATGTGTCCTGCATCAGCAAAATGCTTACATCATCCTCTACACTACTTAGAGAGTAGATGCCTATACTATGATCCTTACTTACACCTGTGAGGTTGTATTAAATCAACTGGAAGTCAATGCGTGCTACTTCTCACATGAGCGCTAAGCTACTGTAACCAATGCGCCATGTTCCTGGACTATAGGAGTTTCCACTTGTAGATTTTACAGTCAGTCAATGTGTGAGCCCAGGGAATCACCATTGTAAACAGTAGCTCATTTTCTCTCAAACTAAACAACAGAGAAGCAAAAATGACAAGATCTTATTTAACTGAGAGAGTCATTATTATTGAGAATGCCATAAGTAAGAAAGAGCATGAACGGTTCAATGCTTTACCAAATCTCTTACTGCCAAGCCATGAATTTTCTGTCTAAGCCCAGTAAGTCAGAGGGAAGGCCCCCACTGTGCAGTTAAACATGGTGGAAGTCAGATGTATACTTAGTCACATGACAGAGTTACAACCAAGTTAGTAGAAACTGTAACTGAGGCCAGCATCAGTGAAGGTTGTATCTAAGAAAGTGTGAGGACCAGGATCAATCTTCCCATCCCAGACACACCACCCAATGTTTTAAAGATTTTCTTTCACCTTCCAACTATGAAAGTTGAAGAAAACTGAGTGGCAACCTGAAAAGTCCAACCTGTCTTTTTCCTTAATAAGGTTCAGAAAATAAAGTCACAATGACCAGGCTTTGGGGAGCTGTATCAAGGAGCTGATAGGGAGGGAAGCAGGAAGGACCTGAGAGCTAACCTGTCTAGGAAACTGCAAGGCTAGCCTGGATTCTCCCAAGTAGGGAACCAGCCAGCGAGCAGCCTGTGGCATCCCACCCTACCCAGCCCCCAAGGATGCCCAGGGCTTGCAAGGCTTTCTCGAAAACAGAACATCTGACTCAACAGGTTTTCAGGATTGGAAATTTTGAGTGTCGCCTTAATTGTTTATACGGCTGCGGTAAACTTTTAAACAAAATGCTGGGACTCCCCGCACGTACTTTACTAGCCATATGCTATACCAAACAAAACAATGGCATTCCTTTCAAATGGCTTTGGCAAGGGATCCTATTCCTTAGCCTGGCATTTACCATGAAAGTGAAAAGGTATCATTAACTCCTCTGTATGCCAGCTTCCCCAGTCTGACAGACCTGCAGTGAGATCTGTGTTCTCCTGATGGTAGGAACAGCCGGGTCCAAGGCTGGGGTCTCAGCTTTAGACAGGTATTTTCTCTACTGCAACAGGTTAGAGCAGCCCTGAGCCAATGGTTAGAATCTATTCAAGTTCTTCCTCTTAAGGCTGAGTAGTTCGTCATAGTGTCTGAGAGTACACCGTCAAGGTTGCCTTCCTTGGCAAAAAGTTCTTAGTAACTTTACAAAGAATAAAACTGGACCAAGGGTGAGGTTCTTTGGCTTTTTGTTGACGCTGTTGCTTTTATTATTATTGTTGTTGTTGTTGTTTTGTTTTTATTCCGAAAGCAAAGGTGTCACTGTTTCAAAAGTAATCACCAATTTAATGTTAACTACCCAGGGAGTCGCTCTTTGCCATCTTGGGTGGGTTGTGCACAGAGGCAGGCTTTCCAGAGGTGAAAATGATTGTCGCTAAGAAATATGCCTGAGTCTGGCTCCAATGTAGCCCCAGATCAGACATTTAAAGGAGATTTGTTTTCAGACAGTGGCTTCATCGCTGCCTTTGCACCCGGCCCCCAGGCGCTCTCACTCCTACCCCAGAAGAACTTTGGCTGGGGTCCAGATGCTGCCTCTGCACCCCCAAACCCCCAAATGCCCTGCTTTCATCTGGCTGCTCAGATCTGGTTTCCTAGGCAGGGCAGCCAGGGAGCCCCATGCAGACTGCCTTCCAGCTCCAGACTGGCCCAAGAGCTTCCTCTCTGGGTAACCGCTGAATTTATTTAGCAAGTGTAAGCTGGCCATCGCGGGGCAGGGCTCCCTGGCAAAGAAGTCCTCTCCCCCTCCTCTGCCTCTCCGGCGCCACCACCACCTAATAACTAATAACCTTCCCGGGCCGTCTCTAGCGGGAGGGAAAGAAGTTCCTGCTAGGACTGTCAACGAAATACATTTCCCTGCCCCCGCCCCCACCCCCAACGCCAGCACCCACCTGACTCGGCAAAGGTGATGATCTCCGAGGTCTGCTCCATGAGTTCATTCATTTCGGCCCTCCTGCCAATGTCGTCCTCTATCTCCACGTACCCGTTCTCCCCCACTTTACCCACATGAAGCTTTCTGATCGCGTTGAGAAGCGCCGCTTTGGGCACCGGCTGGGTGACATCGGGTCTCTTCTTCAAGTGCAGCATGTTTAGGATGTGCTTCTTGACAGCTTCTACCATCTCTGGCTGAGAGTTAGGTCCATCCTTCGGAAGGGTGGCCAGCGCACAGGACGGGCAGTCCGGGGCTGCGCCTTGCCCCTCGGATCCTGGGGTGGGGGAACTCCTCACTATAATCCAGCAACTTGCCAACAGAAATCCTCTCAGCCAAAGCAAGGGCATCCTGGCAGCAAAAGTCGTGTGGTTGCCTTCTTTAAAGGCCCTGCTTTTCCTCCCCCCACCTCACGCACAGGTTTTTTTTTTTTTTTTTTTTTTGGACTTTTTTTTCTTCTCCTCTTCAGCAAATTCTCTGGAACAAGAGCAAAAAGTTTCCTGTGAAGTTTGGTTTGCAGGTTCCCTCTCTGAATGCAGTCAGGGCTGTAGGTTTGCGGCTGTCAGGGAGGAGAGTTCTGACTGTCTCCGAGTAAAAAAGAAGGAAGGAGGGAGGGAGAGAGAGGGAGGGAGGGAGAGAGGGAGGGAGGAAGGAAGAGACAGGGTGGGGGGGGGAGACAGAGACTGAGAGAGGATGGGAGGGAGAGAGAGACAGGGAGAAAGGAGAGAGGGGGAGAGAAGACAGAGGGAAAGGGGGAGAAAGAGAGGGAGAGAGCAGGGGAGGGGGAGGGAGAGGGGGAGGGGAGAGAGGAGAGACAGAGAGAGAGAGAGAGAGAGAGAGAGAGAGAGAGAGAGAGAGGAGAGAGAGAGAGAGAGAGAGAGAGAGAGAGAGAGAGACACGGATTGGCCCTAAGTGAGCGAGTGAATGGGAGAGGGAGGGCGTCTGTGAGTAAGGGCTGTGACTGAGGAGGAGGGACAGCCCGTTTCTGACAGGCTGCCTGCCTTCTGCTCCTTGCTCCCTCACGCACACCTCTCTTCAAATCCTACCCTTCTCTGGGGGTGGGGGGTGACTCTTCCGTCCTTTCTACAATAAATGCTCCTAATTCGGTTCACTTTTGGTCTAGATATTTCTTTCTTTTTCTTCTACTTTTTTTTTCTTCTTTTCATCTTTCTCTGCTCAATCCTATTCACCTTCCCTCTTTGGAAGGGAAAACCCAAACAAACTAAATGCGCTGTTTCCATTCACTGAGATAACTTAATTGGAAAGTGTGTGCCCCTGAAGTCTTCTCTCCCATGGCCTTTCACTAGCCTGGAGAAAGCAAGCACCCACCTGGCCTTGAAGTGGGGCTGAGGGAAGTCCTCAGTAAATACAGGTCAGGGGACTGGGCCTGGGGCAGAGGAGCTGAGACAGCTGGTTGTTCTGCCTGACAGAATCCAGAAGCATTTCTTTCTGCCATTCATTCATATTTAAATGTCCAGGGTCCTCATGCCAGCAGGCGATCCGATGGGACCTGGAGCGCAGCAGAACTTTTGTCTGGGGTCATATAATACACTCTGCTTTTGCCAACTGGGCACCACAGCAGGGCATTGGAAGCTCCCTTGGGCAAGCAGCATTTTACATGCCCTAATCAGAGAAGGTACTCTCTTTCCTCTCTCTCTTCTCTCTCTCTCTCTCTCTCTCTCTCTCTCTCTCTCTCTCTCTCTCTCCCTCTCTCCCTCCCTCCCTCCTTCCCTCTTTCCCTGGCTTCACAGATAAAGTACCGAATTCATTTGGCCTTTCTCATATTCTTTCATAAAAAGAATATACTCTTACGCTGTGAATAACTGCCTTGTGGGGAAAGAATCTCTAAAATATATCGACAAATCCTTTTTCTCTGGCATGTGCTAGCTTTATTTTGTTTTCTGCATGCCCACCCCCAGTCTTGACCATAGTGTGCATGGCAGCCAGCTTAGCTGCTTCCTAATTCCCTCCAAAGTAACAGCAGAACTGAAATCATCAAGGATTACAGTGCTCACAGAGCAAGGCAAATGTGCATTTTAAAACAATGGCTTTCTGAGGCTTTTTTTTAAGTTCTGCACACCCCCTTTTCATTTTCTGTCTTATTGTTTTTATCTTGCAGAAGTATCTTTAAAGCGTCCATCTGTTAAAGCTGTCCTTCCCTCTTGGTTTCTTCCCTACACATAAGCCCTCTTCGTTTCCGTAGAGACCCTCTGCTTCTACCTGACGCTTACCATGTTCGCAGCATTTTAGTCTAGCAAAGCAGGTCAGGAGGACAGAGTTAATAGGTGTCAGGACTAGAAGCATAAGGTCTACATACAAGGAGAAGAGGTTGATAAAATGGTGACACTAAGTTAAACTTCCAGTTTTGACAGGTAGCAATGCCTTTCTGAACCTTACAAATGCGACCTTTCTCAGAAGTAACAAGGCACAAGACATTCTTGGTTACAAGCCCTCTGACACCTTTGCAGGGGTGGGAGGACTCTAAGGTCCAGAAACACTGAGGACTCTGCTGTTGTTGCTAAGACTGTCCATTTTACCTAAAACTCTCATTTTTAGAAAGGAGAGAGGATGGTTAAAGAATGAGGGAAGTAGGGGCATGGGAATTACAATGGTTCAATAAAACATCTTTGTATTATAATAACGTCACCCACCTATTTGGAGTTACAGATACAGAACCCGGAGCGTTTTGTGGTGCAGTTAAGTTTTACAAGACAGACTAACATAGAGCTAAAAGTTTAATGACTCTAAACAACTCGAGAGTCCTAATAGTAGCATTTGGATAAGAGCAACTTATCAATGTTTGGATTCTCTCTGCATGTGAATATGTGTGTGTTCCCTGAATTTACTGTTTGCAAATGGAACTCTTAAAAATAGCTTTCTCTTTGGCATATGTACTTGTATATGTGTGCTGAGTGGGTTGTATAAACACATAATCTATTTGCATGCTCTAGGTCTATTAAAAACAGTATTAACCTGCCTACACAATAGAAAATGATACAAATTACAATACCTATGGAGGTGCCAAAAAGTTGTAAAAGTCCTCTTAGCCATAGTGACTTTTAATGTGTAGAGAGCTCATAAGCAAGAATGTAAAAGCATTACCTTTCAGATCCCTTCTGCTTTGCCAGCCGGTTCTTGTATCATGAGGTCAGAGCTGTCTGAGCTCCTCTTCACGGCATTGACACTGGGAAGTTTTATACTGTAGTACTTAGTCGTACACTCACACATTGGTACCTCTCAAAGAGGAGGGCTGGGGCTTTGTTTAGGATTGGTTAGAATCAGCATGACATCAGCAGATGACTAGTTTTTCCAGAGTGAGACATTTCATAATTCATTATCTATGGAAATCCCTCTTGGCTTCTGAGACACTACCTGGGTGATGCAGTGAGCAGGAAAGCCTGTGGCTAGAACAGTCCACGCTTTACAAAAAAGGAGAGAGTCAAGCACGCACACACCTCATCTCCACGACTGCTCAGTTCTGACTTCATCCTACTCACACTTCACGTCTTGTTCTATTCAGGTTCAGTTTCATGTCTGTACATAAAACATCTGCTACTTCATAAAGCTGCCTCTATTTGCAAAGAACTTTCCTTCTCCGCAGCAAAGAAAATTCACAGTGTTCTTTATAGGAAGTCTAATTTTGTAATTATGATTAAAATAACCAGTTTCTTGAGGGAAAACCTGGGAAAATCTGTATGTCCATGTGGTGATGGTCTCTCTGCCTTGACTCACACTATTAATTTACACCTTGAAACTGAATGCCGGCTTCATACATCATTCATCACCCCAGACTTGGGAAATGGTCCTTCTTTGCAAGTGAACTTCCTAACTAGAAAACAAAACAAAACCACACACACACAAAAAAATACATCGTTCTTTTAGGCTAGAACTGCAAGTCCTATGATTTATAAACATTATCAACTTGAGTTTAATGAAAAGAAGTGGACTCTTCTTTGAAATAGAAGTAAAGCTAATTTGGGGACTTTCCTTTTTGGGGGGCTCGCCCTGGCAGGGAGATAACAGAGGGAGGCACACCCCGATAAAGCACAGTGAAGACAGGTCATTGTGCTCAGGAAGGAGTACAGCCGAAGCACTGGCCAGGTTCACATGACAAGTTAGATAAAATGTGCAAAATTGGGAGCTAATGAAAGCCATATGACCAGATATGTTGTTTTGTGTGCCGGATTTAACATGCATAAAATAAACTTTTCACTGTGCCCACAAGTAAAATGTAGAGGCTCTGGTCTCCTGATGTGTAGTGGGGGAAGGTTCCTTTAGGACACCAAGAGCTGTCTGTGCAAGGGTATCTCTTGACTACAAAGTGTGGGTGCTAGCTCTATGTGGGGGAGGAGGAGAGAGAGGAGCATTCTAAGAACTGCAGAAGAACTGAAGTAGGAAATGAAGTTGCAGGGGAAGCAAGGAATATGAGTGGCAAAGACAGAAAAAAAATCAGAGATGCTCGATCCCATACCCACCCCAGGATGAACACAAACCCTCTGAAGAGAGGCACTCCCATATTGTCTGATAAGAGGCTCTAAGCATTGAAACCCACCTCCTGCCTCACACACGAATTCAGGGAAAGCATCACTTACACCCCATTGTACTGTGGGTGGCACAGGGAAGTGCCTCCATCAGACCCTGAAATCTGAGGCTTCCTCATCATTTAAACACAAGCCTCAGTGTTTCCATCTATAAAATGGGATCTATAATCTCAGGGTTAAAACTCAGTGGTCATAAAGAATGTTATCTCTGGCACATGTGTGTCGTGGGAATGTTCAGGACCCTGACTGCAGAGGCCACCTTAGGGGTCACTCTGAGACCCTGTCGGCCTTTGACACCACGGAAGTGCCCACCTGCTGAGCCAGTCTATCAGCTATGACATGACGTAGTAGCTGGATCCCCCAACCTCAGAGCTGGGAAAGTCTCCTCTCTTTCCGTCGAAATCAAGTTGGGGTGGTGAAGGAAGCAGGCAGGTTAAAATAGCTTCTGTGGAATATTCTGGGCTGGGGATCAGCGTTTCCCTGCTGAATTCCAGGGCCCAGGGCGTGCGCTGGTCAGCGCAGCTCTGAACCGGGTTGGTTTCTCTTTCACTTCCTGCCCCTCCCGCGAAGACTCCCTGCACCCAGGCCCTGTCCCTTCTCAGCCTGCCACCGTACCTTGAGCAGCACCTGCTGGCAGTTTCCAGGGATCACTCCCGAATGCGCAGCTCCAGCCCGGCTCGCGGGACGCCTGGACTCAGGGCCAAGCCGGTCCAAGCGGCCGCCTCTATTTTTACCCTGAACACCAGCAAGGGCAACTTCGTTTAAAAGCGCAGCTCTTGATTTTTCCCCCCCTTTTGGCAGCTAAAGAATTCAGGGAGGGGAAGAAAAAAAAAATCACTGTTCAGTGAGTGCAGCTGGGAATCTCTGATCCCAGCCCTCAGTGCCAGGGAATGTCAGGGACCGGGACCTGCAGTGGGGCTGGCGGTCTCCGGGCCGACCGAGGCAAGCGGCAGCACAGGCCTGGCGCCCGCAGACTGCCCCTTCCCGAGTGTGGAGTTCGGTCCCACCGACTACCGCACTGGCAGAGTGGCCCGCTGCCACCGCGCTCTGCACCTAGCGGAGGCGTTCTGATTTACTGGCTACTTCACAAAGCTCCAACTCCAAGCTGGCCCTGTGCTCGCCTGGAGGAGCAGCCACTAGCGAACCCGGGGAGCAGCTTGCTGTGAGGAGGAGCCCGGAGGGAAACTGGTACCTTATTTTACTGTAATTGCAAAAGAAACGATGTGCCAGAGATTTATATTTAGAAGTTGTATGTTTCTACTTTTATGTAAATGGAGCAATTAGGGCCTGTCTTGTTTCTGCTAACTCGGATGCGTGAGCATTGCTGGGGAGCTGGTGTTTTCAATCACAATTAGCGAGCTGGTCAAGAAACAAAGTTCTTTTGAGGATAGAGCTCCTTTATGCCGATGGTGAGACCTGCATTTCCGTGCTGGCCTGTGGCTTGGGGTGACACGTATCTTAGGGGCACAGCTAACTCTGGACTAGTGTGTTTGCCCTGAGCAGCAGCTGGGACCCTGTAAAGTTGGCAGAGATCAAGAAGTGAGAATATTCACTTTTTCTCTCCGGCAAACCGTATGTCCTTAAGCTTTCATCCAGACTATTAATCGCTCTCCCCTCGCTATTCCCAAATCGAGGAGACAGGCTTGGAAAGGGGGCCATTGCCCACGACCCTGTGGTTAGCGGCTGTTCATAGAACCTGTGATTCAGCCAAATATACCAAACAGGGGATGTGGACACCCTTAGCAGGTGACTGAGAAGTAGCCTCTGATTCAACTGAATGACAGGAGGCTGGTGGTTCAGAGGCACGGACAAGCTGCTGACAACTCAGGGTGTTTGGTTTCCGTCCCATGAAAAATCTGTTTCCAAGAAAAAAAAAAATCATGATTTCTGCCTCATCCCCACTGGGAAAGTGAACATTAAACGTGACTCTGGAAATGAAAAAGGCTTTCTAGGTGTTCTCAGCAGCTGAGGGTCATTCTGGGTTTAAGAAGGAAACCCTTGCCTCCTTGTGGGCAGTCACCCCTCCCCCAAGGGGCAGTTCAGCATCGAGAAAGCACGGCGAAGGATTCTGAGTGGGTATTTTCTGGGTAGACTGTGGGAGTCCCTGGTGAAGCATCTCATCCAATGACTTCAGTAGAGTATGGGTTTGGCAGACCTATCTAGTTTCCTACCGGCCACAGTCTGGAGCCAGTTTGGACCAAATGTTAGATACAAAGATTTGGGCCAGAGACAGAGCAGCGCTTAGCAGTCAAAATCAAAGGGGGGTATGTGTGTGTGGGGGGCTACCTAGGGGGTGTTGTACTTCAAAACAGAGGCGGAAAGGGAAAGGGAAACATTAAAATTCCTCTGAAATGTATCAAAACTAACAAATCAGAAATAGTTACTCCCAAAACCCCGTTTCCTAAAACTCACACTTTTCTCACAACGACCGGAATATCCCTCCAGGCCTCAGGCTACCTAAGAGGGCCTGCTCTCAGAGCATTGAAGATTGTTAACTGAACAGTGCACCCAGATGCTAGAGCTAAAAACGGGAAAAGAAAAAGAAGGAGAAAAAAGTAAACTATTCTTCTTCGTTCCAGAACAGTGGTTCTCAGCAGAAACGTTTTGCTCCCCGGGACATCTGACATTGTGGCAAATCAACTGCCACAACCAGGAAGGAGGTGCCACTGGCATCTACTGAACAGAGGCCAAGGATGCTGAGAGCCCTCCCACAATGCACAGCACAGGACGGTGCCCACGCTAGAGAAATTAGCGATCATTATACAGTGGAGAAGCCCTGAGTTAGAGTCATGATTTAAAGGTTTCACCCAATTCCATTTCCATCCATGCTCCAAGAGGACTTGGAAACCCAGGCTACAACACTGGAAGGGATCCAGTTATGCAAAGTATTAGTGATTGAAGTGACACTGCTTCCGTGTGTGTGTGTGTGTGTGTGTGTGTGTGTGTGTGTGTGTGTGTGATGCGCAATGGCTAGAGACTCACAAGAGGCAATGGATAACTGACTTTTCTTAGGCCTCCTTTTTGTTCCCATCTATCTTCTCACATGCCCTCCGTACATTTTCTGCCAGTATTTGGGTCAAACCAAGAACAGTTTGCTTTGTGGCAAGCAACAAATCTAAATAAACTGATTCATACCCAAGGTGTTCGAAGAAAACATATTTGGAAAAAAAAGAAAGTAAATGAAGAACTGGCAACCTCACTTCAGCAATTCAGTGACAGGTCAATCAATGCATTACAGAATTCCCCAAAGTAAATTTTACCGATGTGAGATATCTATGTTTATCTTAACTTTTAAATAGAAAAAAAATCAAAATATCGTTTCATTTTATTGTCTAGTACCTTAAGAGAATGATATATAATAAACACCCAAAGAAATAAAGCAGAGTTCTTGCCTAAATCCTAGTGTACATTCCAAACAACATAATGTCCTGTGAATGTCTTATAAGGAAGGAAGTATCTCAAAGGAAGACTGTGGCCCTCTGGGTGCTGCTCCTCTGAGAGGTCCCAGGCATGATTGTGAAAGACACAGAAAAAGCGTCATCAACGTAAATGATAAATATCTCAGACAGAAGTAGCCGAAGACATGCTAGCATGCGTGTGACTACTGTTCAAGTTCATGGCTTAGCTTCTGAGTGGCTCAGGTCATCCAGAAAGAAGGTAAGTCAAAGTTCATCTGTCAATGGACAGAGCCATAAGGGGAGTGTCTGAGACACCATGACGCCATGTCATCTCCTCCACGATGTGAATCATCGTCTACTCAGGTAAATGGTCATTTTAGAACCAAAAGCCTCAATCAACTCCGAAATGATTCATAAATGCCTGGATTTCTTCCCAAGAATGGCTAGTACATGCAGAAACTCAATAATCACTTGTAACCTATAGAGAAACCACACCAAAAAATGCCTTCTCAAAATTCTGACCAATATAAATGATCATAACTCAGTTTGAACCCAGTCAGGAAAAATCTGCTACCTAAATTGATTTATTTCCCCCTAGAAGATTATGGGAAGCATTCTCAAAGGAACCTAGAACGGAGCATTTCCATCCTTCCCTTACCTGGATCCCCTAAGACATCAAGTCCCTGGTTCCTGGGTTGAAGACACAGAGATTTAACGTATAATGGATTCCATTAGAAAGCTAAGACAGCAGAGACTTTGATTCCAATCCAATTTTGCTTATCCACAAAGATACCTCTAGAACGTGTCCTCCAATTATAGATCCAAGAGGGGAAAGCCAATAAAAAGCTTGAAACTGTCGTGTGTGTGTGTGTGTGTGTGTGTGTGTGTGTGTTAGATCAGGGAATTGCTCCCTCCTGCATGTCCTGATAAAGTCCAAAGGTTGTGTCCCTCTGTGGGAGCAGCTCCCAGGCACGTCTAAGCCACAGTGGCTGGGGTGCTGCTCCTCACTGCACTGTGACCTCCCCAATGCATGCCCTGGCAGCACATGCTGGCAGCAGCCCGGCCTGGTCAATAAATATTTCCAGGAGCCCTACTCTAATCTCAGGAAGGTCAGGTTTGGAAAGGTGGACTAGTAAGCAGGACTCTGTCTGCATTAGTCAGTTTGCGGGGAGCAAAGTGTAAGAAAGGACACTAATCTTGGGACATTTAGCTGGAGTCACTGAATTCCATAATCTTAAGCTTTCCAAAGACAATTTACGGCCGCAGTCCCTGCTCTGACCACTTCCTCACTCCTCCTGAAAGAGGGGCTGAAATGGTAGGTGGAAGAACAGTTGTTCTAGTAAAGGTGAAAACCTTGTCTCTCAAAGACCAGTTGTGACCACTTTAGCAAAACGACTGGAAGGCCAAAAAATGCCATTTTGGTCAACTCCAACACCTTTTCTCTGTGAAGTGCAAACCATTACAATGGTGCTTCCTGTAGAGAAGAGTTCACCAATAACTTCCCTAACTTTCAAGAAGCTTTTGTTTTATTAGATGCTGTTAGCTTCATGTTAGTCACAGGGGGAAAAAAAAATGCCCACATACACACGCACGACTAAATGTAGTCAGTTTGCTCAGCTGCTGCTGACGTCACTGCTGCCCACTAGGAGTGAGTTACTGTAATAACCCCCTTTTATTAATCATAGGCTGGAGGAAGCACAGAGTGAGTGACATCATTAAGCAAAGGGCTGGCTAACTCATGCTCCAATTTACTCAGCTTTATTATACCATTTCTCAAGTGTCATATGAAAGTGATTACCGTTTCACACTTTCCCCCTCCGAGCGGCCATTGCAAACCTTTGCTTCAGACTCCCAGAGAAGAGTTCGTTTTTCATACAGAGGCACGAAAGGGCTAAGTCTCACTGAGGGTCTTCATTCCAGGAAAGAACGACCCCAGGACAGTTTCTTCCTGGGCACGAGATTGAAGCAGTCTCTGAAAGGATGCTACTCTTGGACCTGTGCTTCTCTTGTACCCTGGTGGCAGCAGTCAATTGCACAAGGCAGTTCTGGCATGTCTTCGTGGTGGCCTAGGTCTTGGGTTATGCACACCTGAGATACAAAATGTGAAAATCCCACTGGGAGGCTATCGAAAGTTAGGGAATAGTCATATGGGTCTTGAAGTTAGACTACATGGGGTTAATTTATTGCTTTCAGACTTGAGGACTTTTAACAAATCTTTGCTATCATAGTTCAGTTCTCCTGACTAGTGAGCGCTTGTCCAAAGGCACGTCCTCCACAGATAACAATCGTATCCAGGATAAAAGCAGCGTCACAAGCCCAGCTCATAGAATATGACTGATATGTAGACAATGTGGCCACTGGCTAAAATGAGCCTTCACTGTCCTTCTACACGAACCATCGGAAAGACCTGGAAGCCTTCTGTAGCTGACCCGGGTAGCTTAGGAAAACAGAAACCCAGTTGCATGCTCACTAAAGACACTAACTTGAAAGTCACCAGCCAGCCGATATTTGTGTGGTTCAGTTCCTCGTGTGCTCCTACTTGCCAAGTGGAGAATTTCAGGGACAGAAGAGGCAGGTGGACAAAAGTGAAGGAAGATCACTTCAGCTCAAAGATTGCCGGGAACACCACATCGTGCTACTGCCACACTTTCTGCTCTCTTTTCCTCCTTTTATTCTTTGTTTTTATTTGTTTGCTTGTTTGTTTGTTGTTGTTAGACAAGGTCTGACAGCCAGAAAAGACAGAGCTTGACCTTGCAATCCTCCCGCCTCCACCTCCCAATTTCTTAGATTATAGGAATGTACTGCCATATCCAGCCTATCTTTTCTTTTGACCATACGAAAGCTGTCTGACTGTCCCCCATGATGATGTATGGACGCGCACACACACACACACACACACATTCTACACACCAGGAAAATGGTTTACCATAGTCTGAGTTGTCTCCAAGCCCATAAACTGGCATCTAGCAGGTGTTCCCTTATTTGAGGTCTAACCTCAGGGTGTTTTGAGGAGTCAGAGTCAAATAAAGTTTAGTTGGACACACATGAGAGATGTGATGGTAGAACAGAAGAGAGGACGAGAATCCCGGGGGATCTGGGTCACGGTAAAATTAACTCAGCAAAAGCAGAAGGCAATAATCAGGGGAGATACCTTACTCCTTGGGTCTTTTCTGGCTCAGGACTGAATCATGAGCAGTCTACCAGGAGATGGACAGACCTTCAGAATGAGAGGCTGCTTCAGGAACGACATGCCAGACAATGTTACATGACAACTCAATAATAATGCAAAGCAACTCTGAGATCTCCAGATTGTTAGCTTTCTTCAGCAAAAGATGCCGTGACGGGAAGGCACAGCTACAACCAGGTAATTGGTGGCTGATTCACACTCCTGAGGGGCGAACTGTGCCTGTGGCCGTTCCCAACCTCTCTAGGGCTACGTTCATGCTTTGCTGCATTCCTCTTCCAGTGAAGGGTACTCCTGAGTTATAGAAGGTGCCCGGCAAAGGCTCACCAAATACAAATTATAAATACTGTGTTTGTTAATATTGTGACTATAGGACGTTCCCATAGGGTCACTTGAAACTTTTATGAAATTTTCTCAGGCAGAAAAATACAACGTGACCACCAAGGAAATCAAATTCTGCACTGGGGAGAATATCCGGATTTACCAGGTGACTGTGCTGTTAACTCCCTTGGAAAGAGACAGCAGCGCCCTCTTCTGGCACATTAGCATAGAAGGAAGCTTTAGAAGGCAGCAGAGGAGCCCACTCCCAATCAATCGCTTTTCAGATATCACTCACTCTGAACTTAAGAGTAACATATATTCTCCACACAGAACATGAAAATGCATGCAAATATAAGAAATGTGAATCACATATGATC